ACACAAACTGGTGTCCAGTGGCCTTCCTGGGGTGGATAAAGTGCTTGTTTGTGTTTCCTTCTTGGTTTTATTTCGGTTTTCTTATCTCTGGCAAGTTGAAGAGATGCTCCTTCGGGGTCAAAAACAGGGACTGTGATTTTTGAGGGGAAAATACCCCCGGAGTTCAGTGCTTTGAATGTGTGAAAGACTGTTCTTGTTGGCTTTGCCTTCCTGGCCACACCAAGGGTGGCTTAAAATGAAAGAGAGATAGATGGGATATTGGGAAGGGATTCTGGCCTGGGAGGGTGGGCAGGCCCTGGCACAGGTTGCCCAGAGCAGCTGTGGCTGCCCCAGCCCTGGAAGTGTCCAAGGCCAGATTGGAGCACCCTGGGGGAGTGGAAGGTGTCCCTACTGTAGGAAGGTGATCCCATTAAAGACCTGGTGGTTCTTCATCTGGAAGGCCCTGAGGACTTTCCGCATCGAGTCGTGGTGGGCATGTTGTGCCCTGTTGATGAACTGAGTGTCCTGGGGGTGTGATAAGTTCAGTCATTCATAAAAAAGTAAGGAAATGTTAATTCCCTGCCTGTAGCTGGAGGACAGGGAGGAAGAGATTGGCTGATCATTCCAGGTCATTCCTGTTTCGTGTGAGCCCATCACAGAGGCTGGAGCTGCCCCAGGCAGGGATGCAGCCAGGACCTGCTTGGGATGGGAAAGGGGCCTGCAGAGCCCCTGTGTCCATGGGTCTGGTCCAGGGGCTGGAGAGTGTCCATGGACTTCCTCTCCCTCTGCCCTCAGTCCTTCCTCTGTGCCTGCCCTGCTCTCCAAGGCAAGGCTGGACTGCAGACAGCTGGCAGAGCAGAGGGTTTGGTGGTCTCCTGGTGAGGAGGAGGATCCAGCTGCTGCAGGCTCAGGATTCCCTGTGAAAGAGCTTGGCTGAAGGACACAGGTGCTTCTGAAGCTGGTTCTTCCAGCTGATGGGGATTATGGGACACAGCTTTCAAGCCCAAACCCCAGGAGAGGTCACATTTAAGCATCTCCTCGTGCTTCCATGGACATGTGGAGCCCAGTAGCTCTCCAGGGGTGGCAGCTCTCAGCATTCCCAGCCTGGCATCTCTCCTCCCCACACCATGGGGCTCTGGGGTCTGCTGTGGCTTTGCAAGGAACATCCTCCATTTGGATGCAGCTCCCAGGACATGAACACCTCAAAAATGAGTGCAATGACTTGGTTTTGCTGGTTTTCTGTGGGACAGAGGGAAGGTTGTGCTGGTTCTGAGGCCTTGCTGGTCTCATGACCAGCAGGAGGAATGGGAGAGTGGATGGAACCAAGGGGTTGTGGAGAAGATGGACACATTGCAAGTGAGCAGGAGAAGGATGTGGAGGGAGAATGGGACACAGGCAGAACCCATGGAAGGCTGATAAATACTGGTTTGAGATTTGGACAAAACACTTCCCCTCTGCTTGGTGGCAGAGGACTGTGCCTGTTTGGAGCACTGATCTTGGGGAAAGGAGCTGGGTCTGGATGAGGGATTTGGAAAGAGTCCTCAGCCCTCTGTAATAGTCTGGGGGGAAATGAGGCAGGAAACAAGTTGTCTATGCACAACTTCCCTGTGGGTATACAGGGAATGCTAAAGAAGATGTAAATCCTGGGAAAGTCTTTCCACCTTGGAAAGAAGCACAGGAACAGCCAGCTGAGGGCAAATGGCAGAGAAGGTCCCTGGGAAGGTGAGGTGCCCTCAAATCCTCTGTGTGTGGGAGCCTGGCAGTGGTGTGATGTGAGAACATCACCTTGCAGGGGCTTGGTTAAGTTCATGGAGCTGCCCCATTGCTGCTGTCCCAGCACCTCGTGGGGGGTGCCCACCCTGGGGGGTGTTGGGGCCCATCACAGCCCCAGATCTGCACCAAAAAACCCTCCTGCATGGCTTGGGGAGTGAGTGTTGGGGCTCAGCCCTTGCTGCTTGCTCCAGGGGCTTCCAGCACGTTCCCAGCACACAGCAGGAACGTTCCTGCCTGCCCAGCAGGGAACTGGGAGGACTGACTGGTTTCCCTGGGCTGGATGTCTCGAAAGGTCTTTGCTCAAAGTCCCCTCTGCAGAGCTCTGTTCTTCTCAGCTGGCTTTTCTTTCCCTGTGAGAAGCCAAAGAGGCTTCACCGTTCCTCCTTGGGCAAGTCCCAACCCACGGTGGGCATCCATCAACCCATGGTGGGCAACCATCAGCTGCATCCATGGGGTGTGGAGTGGGAGGAGACACTGGGCACAGGGTGGGCAGGCTGGGGCTGTGGGGGCTGTGGGGGGCAATGCCCTCCATACCAGGGGTGTCTGGTGGCCCTGCAGGGGGGGCACCCCACTAACGCAGTGCTGTATCCCACAGCTGCACCCCATGAGGATGGACCAGCGGATGCCACCACTCATTCTGGAGGTGAGTCACTTCCCTCATTCCTCCCCTGCATCCTCCTGCTCCCCTTGGTGAGCGACCACTGAAGTCCTAGGAGCTTGGATGTGCCCCCTCTCCCCCAGTGCAGGACACCCAGCTCCACTGGGAGGACAAGGTGGCACCTCCACTCCCTCCTTCTGCCCCCACCGCTGGCCAGGGCACCTCCCTCCATCTCTGCCAGTGCCCAGGCACTTGTGTCTCCTTCATGGCTCCAGTTAATCCATGTACTGGATCCCAGGGGCTGTGGCAGGAGCCCTGAGTGACAGCCAGAGCACCTGAGTTCAGGGGGCTGGAGTGGGATCCCACACAGACCTGTCTGCACTGGGACACCCCTGCTGTGCCCACCCTGGCCTGAGGACTTCACAGATTCATGGAACTGTTTAATTTGGAAAAGTTTTCCAAGACCATTGAGTCCAGCCCTTCCCCAGCAGTGCCAAGGCCACCACTGCCCTGTGTCCCCAAGTGCCACATCCACAGGGCTGTTAAATCCCCCCAGGGATGGGGACTCCACCCCTGCCCTGGGCAGCTGTGCCAGGGCTGGTCAGCCCTTTTCCCCAATATCCCACCTGCCCCTCCCCTGGCACAGCTGAGGCCGTTCCCTCTCCTCCTGTCCCTGTTCCCTGGGAGCAGAGCCCGACCCCCCGGCTCCCCCCTCCTGTCAGGGAGTTGCAGAGCCAGAAGGTCCCCCCTGAGCCTCCTTTTCTCCAGGCTGAGCCCCCCCAGCTCCCTCAGCTGCCCTGGTTTTGGATGGGGCTCTGCTTGGGAAGTGCTCTGGGGTCTGAGGTGCCACCCCTGGCCGAGCAGTGCCAGGGGGTCTGTGGTTGCCTCGTGTTTCTGGGCCACAAACAAGACGAGCCGCTTTCTCCCTGCTGGAAGGATGCTGGAACTCTGGGGTGCCTGGGAACTGAGGCATAGTGGACCATTCCATGGGACAATTCCATTGCTGTCCAGGTCCTGCACGCACACACACACACACACACACACACAGCAGGGGGGCTGCAGCCACAGCAAGGACTGGTGTCCTCCCCCCTGGTGACACCCCCCTGCTGCCCCTCAACACCCTCCTCAGGAGCCTGAAGGAAAGAAGAGGAATTGGGTTTTAGTGGAAAAACAGGGAGAAGACTGTGTTCTGCAGGTAAGGAGGCTGTGGGAGAAAGGGAGGTTGGGTGACACCAGAGGGGAGGGCAGGGGGGCTCCAGCTCAGGATCACCTCTGGCATCTGAAATTAGGGCCCTGCACAGAACCAGTTAGTTTGGGAAGGACCTCTAGGATCCACACCTTTCCACATTTATCCACCTGCCTGGTTACCTGCCCCACTGGAGGAGTGGGGAGGAGACCTTCCCTTGGGAACTGGAGGTGAGAAAGTGAAATGCCAGAGATAAGAGAAGTGTGGAAGTAAAAGGCATCCAGCACCTTCCCTGCCAGTGGGGCCCTTCACTGCTCAGGTATGTGTGGCATCCACAGCCACTGGGACTGCCTGGAGCTGACTGCCCAGGGAACCCTGCGAGTCTGGGGGGAGGAGCAGCCAGGGCTCAGCTCCAAAGCTTTGGAGTGGTTCTCCCTAGGGCAGGAACCCAGTCTGGACACTGGGAGGAAATCAGGGCTCTGGAGCCCTCTGGGAGGATTAAATCCCTTCTCTGCCTCCCACTGATGCCTTTGGGTAAAAACGGAGGCCAGGGGCTGATCTCTGGGGACAGGACCCCATGGAAAGGGGGTGTGTCAGGGCAGGCTCAAGTTGGATTTCAGGGAAAGGTTCTTCCCCCATAGGGTGGTTGGCACTGAACAGGCTCCCCAGGGCAGTGGGCACAGCCCTAAGGCTGCCAGAGCTCCAGGAGGGTTTGGACAATGCTCTCAGGGACAGGGGGGATTGTTGGGGTGTCTGTGCAGGGCCAAGAGTTGGACTGATGATCCTGATGGATCACTTGTATCTCAGGACATTCTATGACTCTATGAGTGGCTTTAGATTCCTCCTGAGCAGGGGTTCCCTCTCTGGAACGTGTGGGGGTTGTTTGAGCTTCCTTTAATGAGGGAATTTTCAGGGCCAGATGAAGATGGACGTGTCATGGTTGGACTCAATGATCCTAGAGGTCTTTTCCCACCATAAGGATTCCATGATTCCATAGGGCCCACACCCCAGTGCCAGTGTGGTGTACTCTGTTCTGGGGCAGTGTAGCCCTTCCCAGCCTGGCTTCCCTGAGCTCCTGTCTGTGGATTGCATAGGATTCCCAGCACAGTGTACATGCAGCATAGCCCTTCCTAGTCTGTCTTCCCTGAGCTCCTGTCCCTGGAGAAGAGGCTGTATTTGTGCAGAGGAGGGGTATTTGTGCAGAAGAGGCTGTATTTGTGCAGAGAAGGTGCATTTGTGCCCATCCCTGCGCGTGGGGCGGAGCCAGCTCAGCCAAGCGCCACCAATTGTGCTCCCGGAGGTGCAAAGGCCCTTGGAATGAACTGGATCCAGGGTGATTCGTTTTGCTGGAAAGGGCAAGAAAGTCTCTTGGCCCCCCTCCAGCTTTTACATGAGCAATGGAGTTGCAGCAGGGCTGACTTTGGCCCTTGGCACTCTGGTGACATAGTTCAGGGCTGTACAACCCTGGGCAGGGCGTGGGCTGAGATCAGCTCACGCTCCTGGAGTGCATTGAGGGCTCTGCCAGGGAAACCTGGTGGTTCTGCCAGCTCCTCTACATATGAATGAGTCTCTGAGGGCTTTGCAAGGAGCCTGACACATGGATAACCACATAATTAAAGGCTGAAGCTTTGCAGAAGAGCATTAGAGCTGATATCTGTAACCACAAAGAGCAGAGCTTGAGTCATCCAACGCCAGGGGATGAATTTCCTAGAGGATTGCTCCATCAGGTTGCTGAGTTATTGGGCCTGGATTCAGTGGGATGCCCCAGCAGACAGGAATGAGGAGGGGAAGGAACCTGCTTGTCTGAGCCAGAGGTCCTGTTAGCTTGGAGGACACAGGCTTGTAAAAACAGCTCTATAAAAGCAGGACTAAGCCAAAGGTTAGGCGAGGGCTGAGTCACCCTGCCAAGGCAGTAAGAGTGTGCCTGGAGGTTTCCATCTTAGGCTCAGAGTGCACTGAACAACACCACTCAGACTTCTAGGCCCAAATTATTCTCAATTAATTAAAGATACTGTCCTAGAATTTCTCAGGTAATTAAAGACATTGTCCCAGAATAAAACCCATCTCAGGCTGCTGAGTCTAAAGGAGACCAGAGCCAGCATGTCCAAGGTGTGCTGCAGATCCAGCCTGCCCAAGGTGTGAGAGCATGGCTGGAGCAGACCTGCTTTCCTCCCATTCCTCGAGTCAGTCTCTCCTTGGTGTGCCCAAAGCTTTGTGCCCAAAGCTTGGCTCCTCTTTATCAGGCTGAGTTCCTCCCCTAACTGCATCCTCTGTGTTACCAGTGGAGATATGGAAGAGGGAAGTGGGGCAGAGGACAGTGACTCACTGCTGGGGAGTCTGGCTGAGTCAGAGACTGAGCTAAATCATTTCAGCCTGTGGCTCCTGGGCCATTCCTGCCACTCTCTCCATTTCCTGCTGCCTCAAATCCCTGTTGGACACTGCCCCCCTCAACCAGAGGGAACCTCTTCCCAGGTTCCTCTTCCCAAGTTGTCCTGTCTGTGTTTGTTCCCCCAGGCACGCTCTGAGATGGACAAGTACCTTTCCAGCGAGGTGCCCCCCATCCCGACGCTGCTGGACAAGAAGTACCGTCGGGAGAGCGCCTCGGTGGTGGACGAGTTCTTCTCCACGGAGAAGCCCAGCTCCACCCCCTACAGCGTCAACATCAACGTGATCCTGCCCGACACGACCCACCTGCGCACGGGGCTGTACCGGCCCCCCAAACCCCTGGCGTCCTTCCCGCAGATCAAAACCGAGCCCGGTGCCGCCTTCGCCCAGCCCTGCTCGTCAGCCCCCGGCCCCACGCAGACCCTGCCCGACTTCACCAGTGTCTTCAGCATGCCCCAGTCGGTGGCTGTCAACAACATCTTCATCAAGCAGGAGATGCCCTCGGAGGTGCCCTTGTCTGCCGCCCCCCAGCCGCCCCAGCTCTACCAGCTGCCCCTGGGCAGCGGCGGCACCGACATCCCCACCCTGACGTCCTCCTGCAGCACCACGGCCGTCAACTGCCTGGGCGGGGTCACCATGGCCACGGGCAGCACCATGGCCAGTGTGCACAGGCCCGTGCAGCCAGCAGGGCCGCTGAAGCAGTACCCACATGTGTCCCAGGGACAGGGCAGCTTCAGCATCTCCGGGCAGTTCTACCCTGCCCCGGGGGTGACCCTGCCCCCCTCGCCCCCCAACTCGCAGCCAGGCAGCCCAGAGAACCAGCCTGAGCTCATCAACACCATCTCCCCCCCGCCATCCTACGAAGCCACTTTTGGACTGAAGCTGGTCCAGTCATCCCAGGTCCCCCCAGTCCCCAGTGGCGTTGGGACCCTCTCCCAGGGGCACCTGGTCATGCAGCCCCCCAAGTACAACCGACGCAACAACCCCGAGCTGGAGAAGAGGAGGATCCACCACTGTGACTACCCAGGTGGGTGCATGGCTTGGCTTTGGGGGGGGTCTCTTGGCACCCTGAGGGTGGCTGGGGGCTGCTTAGGGCCTCTTTTTTCATCTCAAATCCTCTTCTCTGCATGATGGAGGGAGCTGTGGAGTCCAGTGGAGAGCCCTGGGGAAGTGGGAGGGAGTAGAAGAGGTTGATCCCACCCACCTGAACTATCTGGTGCCTGTTGTCTCCCTTCTCCTCTCCTCTTAATGCTCTGGGAAAAGCAAGCCTGGCTCTGAGGGCCAGGGATGCTCCTGCAAAGCACAGGGATGCTCCTGGAAAGCTGATCCTCAGCTGCCTGTTTTGCTCTGGTCTTGAATAATTCCCCATGAAATGACACCTGCAGGTACAATCACACTGCCTTTCTCACTGGCTCTTCCTTTCCTGCTCTCAGAGGGTGGAAAACCAGGAAGTCATTTCCACAAGCAGCCTTGATGGTCTCTGTAGCCCAGTTCTTCCAAAGAGGCAATGAAGTTGAGGGTCTCCATGTCGCGTCTTTCCATGGCTTCATGTCCTGCATGAGGGTGGTATGGAAGGGCATTTCAGTGGAATCATGGAATGGGCTGGGTTGGAAGGACCGTAAAGATCACTCAGTCCCACCCCTGCCATGGGCAGGGACAGCTTCCACCAGCCCAGGTTGCTCCAAGCCCCGTCCAACCTGGCCTTGGACACTTCCAGGGATCCAGAGGCAGCCACAGCTGCTCTGGGCACCCTGTGCCAGGGCCTGCCCACCCTCATTGTATGAAATTTGTTCAGACCAGAGCTGAAGCTGTTCCCCGTGTCTTCCCACCCCATGAGGTGTCCATCTAATGATGGACATCTGTGGTGCCTGGGCAGGTGGAGCTGGCCGAGATCCCTGGATCTGCAGCTGCAAACTCACATTCACTCATTCCTTCCTTCGTTCCTCATCCCTGGTAGTGCTCAAGGCCAGGTTGGAGAAACCAGATGTCCCTGCCCATGGCAGGGGGTGGAAGGTCCCTCCTGACACAAACCTTTTTTGGGTTCCATGGCACACAGGAGGGAAACAAATCCCAAGTGAGATATCCCAGTGAGAGCAGCTTGAGGGCTTGAAAATCCCCACTCCCAGGGCAGGGACACACACCTCCCACTTCCTGGGCTGATCTCCAGCTGCTGACCAGTTGTGGATTAGCAAACAGTTTTCCCAAGTTTGAACTGAGGAAAGTAATTTCCTACCTGCCTCCTGGGGAGATTTATGTGCTCTTTCTGTGGCATGGGAGGAGCTGGAGCAGGGCAGCCCAGAGGCTTTGCCTCATCCAGGTCCTTTCTCCAGGATCTTACCACTTCCCACCCTCTGGCAACAGGCAGATCAGGGATTTTCCGAGCCAGCAGCTGCCCCCATGTGCTTGGGGTTGCCAGCACACGCTGCTTTGTACCTTCCATCTGAAGGGTGTAAGTGGAGCACTGCTCTGGGACAGACTCCTTGTTCTTGTCTCGCTGCTCTGAGGAAGTCTCATCCTGTAAGATGAAGTACTGAGGAAAAACTTACCTGTTTTCAGCAGGATTTTGGTCTGTGGTGCAAAAAAATCCCCTCAGCAAGCTGTGCTGAACAAACCCCGGGTGTCTGCGGGTGTGTATGTGCAGAGACAGAGCTGGGCTTTGGCTGAGCCTTCAGTCTGAAGTTCAGCTGCAGGTGAGACCAGGCAGGACTTCTGGCAGGGGCAGCAGCTCTCACTGCCATGGGCTGTGTAAGGCAGGAAGGGACACGGAGAATTCACACCTGGAAGTGCATGAATGGGGGAGATGTGTTTGCAAAGCCCCATCCAGCACCTTCCAGGGCCTAAAGGGGCTCCAAGAGTCTTGGGGAGGGATTTGGACAAAGGCCTGGAGGGATAGGACAGGGGGATTGGCTTCAAACTGCCACTTAGGTGGGATGTTGGGGAGGAATTCTGGGCTGGGAGGGTGGGCAGGCCCTAGCCCAGGTTGCCCAGAGAAGCTGTGGCTGCCCTTGGATCCCTGGAAGTGTCCAAGGCCAGGTTGGACAGGGCTTGGAGCAACCAGGGCTAGTGGAAGGTGTCCCTGCCCAGGACAGGGGGTGGAACCAGATGAGATCCCAAACCAGTCTGTGATTCCATGATTTCTCTCCCAAGTGTGAGGCTTCAGAGCACCAGAAGCAGAACTGAAGTGGGTAACCAACCCTTGTCCCCCAGGCCAGGAGGGATGAGGCCTCCCACCACCTGAGCAGGATGGGACCAAGGGCTCATCTGGGGCAAGAGGCTTCTTTAGGCTGGGTGGAAACGCTGGAATGGAAAATGGGAGCATTATGCAGGTCATAAAAATTCAAATCATCTTTTAATCTGCTTGTCAAAACACAAAGCAGGAGGGCCAGAAAGGCAGCAGGAGGGGCTCTCCTGAGCTCTCTCTGACTGAAAAGAGGAACTAAGGACTCATTTTGACACACCTGTTGTTGAAACTTCTGCCCAGATCACAGTGTTTTGGTCAGACCCTTTCTTTGATTAAACCTGTCATTGCTGAGCTTCTGAAAACACTTCCCTCTGGCTTTATTCTGGATCCTGGAAGGCAAGTATAAACACCGTACCTGGTGTTTCCTGCTGCCTGGAACATTTTTACCACATCTGCTTGGGCTGGGACTGTTACAAAATACACCTTCCCTCCAGCCTTGCAAAATGATATCAGTTATGTCTGGAATCCAGAGAGACAAAGGGCAGCACAAAGCTAGCAGTTGATGGGGGTGAACTGAGTGTTTTCACCCTGCCTGGAAGATCTAGTGGAGGAATGGGAGGTTTGAATGTTTGTGCCTGATTCTTCTCCCCCTAATTCCCAGCACAATAGCATAGGGTGTCAGGATTGTGTCAAAAGATGATGTAAAGGCCTGTCTGTCTGAGAAAACAAATGCTCTTTAGTTCCTGCTGATCCCAAGTAGTACAGCCAGACTTATTTGCATTACCCAGCTCTGTCCCTCACCTCAAATATCAGGGATTGTTTGAGGAAGGGCCTATTTCTCATGAGGAAATTGTGGGGTTTTTTCCTGTTCTTGCAGGTTGCTCCAAAGTTTATACCAAGAGCTCCCACCTGAAGGCACATCAGAGGACTCACACAGGTAAGAGCAGCACAGCACCTGGAAATGCTGCCTGTGCTCCTTCCCTGTCCTGCTGGTGGTGCTGAGGATGTCACTGAGCATCTGGTGGTTGTTGGGATAGGGAGCACAGGCAGGTCTGTTGCTGCTAATGCTGGAAAAACTCCAGGGGTTGTGCTGGTTTATAGTGGATTTTATAGGACACACACTGCTGTGGGTGCTTGCTTGCCTTCTACCGGGATAGTCTGCAATTTAGGAGAACTCTGGGAGGCTCTCAAGTCAATGGTTTGGAAGAGATTCTCCCAAACCCCTCAAAAAGAGGCCAGGGTTAGATGGGATATTGGGAAGGAATCCTTCCCTGTGACGGTGGGCAGGCCCTGGCACAGGTTGCCCAGAGAAGCTGTGGTTGCCCCTGGATCCCTGGAAGTGTTCAAGGCCAGTTGCTCCAGGGCTTGGAGCAACTTAGGCTAATGGAAGGTGTCCCTGCCCATGGCAGGGGGTGGTACTGGATGGGCTATAAGGTCCTTCCAACCCAACCCAGTCTGGGATTCTGGGATGCTCTGGGTCACTCTTCCTTTGAGATCTCCCAGATCCTCCCCAGATCTGATCCTGCTTCTCCTGCAGAAGGATTGTGTGAAGGCCTGTGTTGCATGCCCAGGACCTCTGAAGAGACAGGGGCTGTCTCTTTTTTGTCAGCACTCCGTGACTCCCAGGGAAGGGAAGGGACCCCTTGTGTCTCTCTGTTTACACTGACCACTTGTGTCCCCTCAGCAGCTGCCAGTGGTGCATCACTCCCAACCCACCTCCAGAAGGGCTCCAAATCCATGCACAGAAGGGCTGTGCCCTCCTTCCCAGGGCAGGGGTGCCCTCCTTCCCAGGGCAGGGGTGCCCTCACTGGTGCAAACAGGGTGCCCAGCCCAGAGCAGCTCCCACCACAGCCCACTCCCCTCGGTACCACTTGTGCATTCAAGCCCAGGTCCCCTCATTAAGGCATTTATTATACCTGAAACTTTATCAGATCCCCTGGTAGTCCAGGAACCATCAGTGCCCTCATAAATCTCTTTTATAGAAGGGCTGATCTTTACAGAAAGCAATTAAGCTGGCCCAGAGTTCACTTTTTTTTTTTATGAACAACGACCAAACCCCATCCTGTGGCTGGGAATCGCTTCCTGCTCTTGGCTCCCTTCCTTTCTCCCCTTATCAGCCCCCTTGAACACTCCAGCAAAGAATTTTTCTTTGTGTGTGTGAGGTACAATATTTTTTTGGCAGGATCTGGGTAAGAGTGGGCTAGAGAACAGCACAGAAAGGAACAGGAAGGATGTTGTCCCTGCTCCCAAAGCTGGGTGGTGACAGGCCTTTGTCACAGGGCTCTGCTTTAAAATGAAATCTCTCTTTTCCCCTTCTCTTCAGAGCTCCATGACCCACCTGAGATAGGCAATATAAAGAAGTGTCGAGGAAAACTTGGGTGGTTTTTAAGCCCAATGAAATGTGGTGGGTTTTCCTGGTTTCCCAGTAACTGGGCTGGAAATCCATGTGTGTTTGCCTCCTTTCGCTTCACTTATTTGAAGAGGGAAGGGCATAGAGGTGAGGGAGGAGATGATCTGAGTAGTTAAGAGAACTTTTGGTGGTGTGGAGCGAGTAAAAAGAAGGGAATCCAGTCCAGATCCAGACACAGGCAGGCTCAGAGTTTCTGCATCCAATATTTTTAGCCTCATGATTTGCTTTTGAGGCTTTCACCTCACTGGAGCTGCAGTGACAGAACACATCCCAACTCCTGCCTGAGGCCACTTCAGCTCCATCACCTGAAGGGTTAATCATGTCCTTTCTCCCCATTCCCTGCCCGGGCTGAGAAGCATCTGATCTCTGAGATCTTTCCTTGTGGTTTTGCTGTGGGCTGGGCTGTGTCCCTCTCCTGGAGACACCATTCATTTCCTGGGAGCCATTGTGAGATTAAATATCTAACCTGGGGCTGCTCTCCCGCCTCCCCCGGGGCCGGGAATGCCCGCTCGGGCCTTTTGTTTGAGCCTGCCCTGCCGTGCTGTCCTGGGAGATGGAGCCAGCTCCCGGGACAATGGTTTCCATCCTGGAGATCAACCTGGTATTGTTTGCAACCAAAGGGCCTCGGTGGGGCTGACCCAGCCAGGTGACCTGGTGGGGACAATGTCTGGGCTGCACGGGGTGAATCCTGCTGTTGTCTTGGCATGCTGAGGCACTCCTAGATCCCATGAAACACCCGACCAACTGCTGGTAAACCCTCTGCAAATCCTGTATTTCCCTGAACTATAAAAAATACACCTCCCTTCTCCCCATGGTTCAGCCTCCAGGGTTTTTTTGAGGAGCAGGAAGTGGTGCTGGTGACCTGTCTCCTCCAGGTTTCACAGCTGCGGGCAAGGCCCTGTAGATCTTGCTGTGGCCCAGTGTTTTCACTTTTCCTGCCCAAATGTGGCTTTCCCACCCCTGGAAGTGTTCAAGGCCACCTTGGAATGAGCTTGGAGCACTGTGGTCCAGTGGAAGGTGCCCCTGCCCCTTCCCCATCCCTGGAAGTGCTCAAGGCCAGTTTGGAATGAGCCTGGTCTAGTGGAAGGTGCCCCTGACCCTTCTTCACCTCTGGAAGTGTTCAAGGCCAGCTTGGAAGGTGCCCATGCTCCTTCCCAGCCCTGGAAGTGCTCCAGGCTGGTTTGGAAGGAGCCTCATGTAGCGGAAGGTGCCCCTGCCCGTGGGACACGATACAAGCTTTGAGGTGCCTTCCAATGCCATCCACTGGTGATGCCCTGGCTGTGTGAGGCCAGGGGCCGTGGGGAGGGAGAGCTGCTGCGTGGGGAGCTGTGAGAGCGGGGCACACATGCCTGTGCACGCCGGGTGCGGGCGTACGTGCGCTGTGCTGCGACGGAGCGCGCCACAATTGGCCGAGGAAATGGTAAATATTTGAGGTCGGGAAAGTCAGCACATTCCCTGAACTCTGCCTGCTTGTTCAGGCTGTTAAGAGCGAGCACTAATATTTGAGAGTGCCACACCCTTGCGTGGAGAGGGCTACAGCCAGGGTTCAGCTCCACAACCCGGGCACGCAGGCGGTTGGAAGCGGCCACAGGCTTTTCCAGCCCAGCCCCTGGCTGGCTGGGGAGTTGCGTGATTGAATGGATTTCAGTTGGGGAAAATAGGTGTGGGAGGGAGGGAGGGAGGGGAGGAGGGCAGAGGCATTACATCACCCTGAGGAAAAAACACAATGTGTTGTGTACAGAGCTGCTCCCGGGTGAACTTGGAGTCAGAGAGACATTGAGGGGCTGGAGCGTGTCCAGGGAAGGGAATGGAGCATGAGGAGAACTTCTGAGGGAGCTGCAGGGGGCTCAGCCTGGAGAAAATGTTCTCCAGCATCAAACTCCATTTATCTTGACCCATGAAGGGGTTTTTTTCTCGCTTATTTTCTCCCTCTCCCTGCTGCTGAGCAGTGGAGCAGCTTGCTGGGCACCTGGTGGCCAGCCAAGGTCACCCCCCACACCTCATGTCACCTGTAAAGGGCATTTGGGAGAGGAAGACGGAGTGTTCCCCGGGGGAAAAGGCAAAGTTTTAATTCCTCACCCATTTGGGTGCCAGCAAATGTTGGCAGTGGATGGAAGACTCTTCTGATCTCTGTTTTGGTGAGACAGGAACCCTCAAGTTGCCAGAAGCAACTGGGCAACGTTCTCAGATTATGGAATCAAGGAGTGGTGTGGGTTGGGAGGGGTCTTTAAGGGTCAGCTCGGACTTTAGGGACACCTTCCACTAGACCAGGTTGCTCCAAGACCTGTCCTTGATCACTTCCAGGCATGGGGCAGCCACCATCCCTGGGTGGTGGGCTCAAAAAAATGTAGGTGCTGTAACCCCTGTCTTGCTCCCCACCACCTGTATGAGCAGCAACACCTTCCTTAGGAACTCTTGACTTTTTATTTAAAAAACCCAACAAACTCAGAAGGCTTTTTTTTTAAAGACAGAAATGCTCCAAAATTCAACAGGAACCCCCTTTGCCCCCACCTATATGAGCAGCGACACCTTCCTCAGAGGAATTCTTGACTTTCCATTTGAAAAAACAAAACAAAACAAAACAAAAAACCAAACTCCAAAGTTTTTTTTTGAGCCAGAAACGCTCCAAAATCCACCAGGAATATGAGCAGTCCTAGAAAACAAGCCTGGAAAGCAAAGTGGGAGTAGGGTGAAGAGGGACAAGACGTGGTTGCTGCAGCTGAGCAGCTCCCAATGCCTCAGTGATTTCGGGCGAGCCCTGGCAGTGCCAGGGTGCCCTCGTGGTCCTCCCAAGGAAGTTGAGCGTCTCCCAGGGGCCGGGGTGGGTTTCTGGGAGGCCGTGCCCGTGACCTGTGGCTGTCCCTGCAGGTGAGAAGCCCTACAAGTGCACCTGGGAGGGCTGTGACTGGCGCTTCGCCCGCTCCGATGAGCTCACCCGGCACTATCGGAAGCACACAGGGGCCAAGCCCTTCAAGTGCCTCGCCTGCGGCCGCTGCTTCTCCCGCTCCGACCACCTGGCCCTGCACATGAAGAGGCACCAGAACTAGGAGCTGCCTCCTTCCCACACTTCTCCAAGAGCAGCTGGAACTCTTTTCTCCTCTGAGGGGCCTCCCCTCGTGCTGTACATAGGAACAAACCCACGCTGTGATCAACTGGCAGGGCAGGGATGGTGGGTGAACACCCTTCCAGGCCTGTCCCTGATTCTTTCTGGTTTTAAAAGAAATTCAAAACCCCAAACAGCTCATTTACGATCAGGTCTAATTACAGACTGATCTCCTGACGAGGTTCCCGGTGCCACTGGACCAATGGACCTTGGATCCAAAGGGCTTTCTTCCGGCAAACCTGCTATTTATTTGTCACTCAGGAGCAACTGTCCTTTGTTCCTCAAGTTCTTTGGGATGGTTTTTTAGCCCTTCCAGGATGGTGCCTTTGGTGAGGCCCAGGAGGGTTGTGACAGGTTGGCAGCTTGGACCCTCTTGGACTGCCCCATGGCATGGCCGTGGATGTGACACACTCTCCCATGGTGTGACCATGGATGTGGCACCTTCCCCCATGGTGTGATACGGCACCTTGCCCCATGGTGTGACACCTTGTCCCATGGTGTGACCATGGATGTGGCACCTTCCCTCATGGTGTGATATGGCACCTTGTCCCTTGGCATGGCCATGGCTGTGACACTTTGCCCCATGGTGTGACCATGGAGGTGGTACCTCTGCCGTGCGAGAACAGGAGCACGTGCCCAGGGCTGTTTGGGTTGACAATCCCAGTCTCTGTGGGGGCATAAGAGGAGAAGATCTCTGACATACTCACCTGACGTGCCTTCAAGCAAGGGACAGCACAAAAGCAGGTGACAGAAGCACCGCCTGTGTCCTGTTGAGCCCAGCTGTGGTTTCCTGGCAGCAACTCAGCTCAGCAAAGACCTGTCCTGCTTGGCGAGGTTTTTTGGTTGTGTCCTTAGCATTTCTGTTTCCAAGATTAATTTTAACTTCGGGTGTCTCTGGGAGGACCAGCATGGGTTTGAAGCCACCCAAAAAGCCACTGATGAAAGTCTGGTTTCCCTGAAGACACTGGTGGTGCCTTTCTCCAGAAGATGCACACAAGGACTGTGCTGTTGCCATTTCACCCCATTCAGATGGGGAAAAAAATAGAAAAACCCACATCTTTGAAACGAGTTCCAATAAATTCTCCAGTTCAGATCGTAATCACATTACCTACCTCACAGGTTCACCACCTCGAGCTCCGTGAGCACCTTCCCCCCTTGCTGTGGGTGCCACGACACATGGGGTACATCACCCGCTCTCCAAAGCCTACCAGGGGTTAAATTTGGGCAGGACAAGAGCCAGGCCCTGCCAGTTCCAACAGCAGCTGTGTGGGTCATAAATAAATCAAGAACAAATAATGGGCCTGGTGTGTCCAACTGAATATTGATTTCCCCACACCCTCCTCCTCTTTTATTTCTCCTTGAACAAATTTTGGTGCCCCATGGCCTGATGTGTGTCTGCAGTGTGGGATGAGAGGCCACACTGAACTGGGGCATCTTTGAGTGGTGGGAATTTGGAGGCCACTCCTCTCTGCTGGTGTCAAACTGCTCGGGAGCCGCAGCCCGCCCTTGGGGTCCTGCTCATGCTTTTCCATGGATAAACCAAGCTGAGCGGCACCTGCGGCAGGAGAGGAGTCAGGAGGGATTTGGGGGGTTCCGTGGTGTGGTGTAGGCTCTGGGGGGGTGATGTACCCAGGGCTGATGGCCCAGCACTGCCGTGAGCCCTTGGGGTGGCTGTTTGGCTCTCCAGCAGGGTGGGAATGTCAGGCCAAGGAATTGCTGGAGGTGGTTCAAGTGGTGCTGGAGGTGGCTTTTCCAGTGGTGCATGGGAAGGGCTTTCCAGTCCTCAGCACCAGGGCTGGAGGGTCTGACATCAGCAGCCTCTTGACACTGAGCTCAAGTGAAGTTTGGAGGGCCTGGCTTACACTCAGCTGACCATGTGGATGGACCCCCAAGTCCTTTTTTCCATCCTTTTTCCAACTCTTCCATGGCTTGTCATGGCAGCTCCATGAGGATTGGCTGGTTGTGGGGCCAAGGGGCTGGATTGCCATGTCCCTTATTGGCTATGGGCTCTGGCTCCTCTCCAGGGCACAGGGCAGACCTTGCCAATGCCCCCACTGTGACCTGGGCTCCTTCTTGTGACCTGAGCTGGCCTGGGAGGTTGGACCTGCAGTGCCACCCCCTCCCAGCTAAGGTAAAACCACAGGGGACAGTTTTACCTCTTGCCTTGTGCCTGGGAGATGGATCTGGAGAGCCCCAGGGATGGGGGCTTTTCCATCTCTCTGACGATGGAAAAGCCCCTTGGAGAGCAGTGGTGGAGCAGTTGGGATGAGCTCATCCCAAAGGAATTTCAGCACAGTGTGGAGATGCCTCATGCCTCAGTCAGCCCCCACCTGTGTCTCCAAGAGGCTCTGGGTGTCTCCAGGGGGCTCTGGATGTCTCCAGGAGCCTCAGGCTGGCTCAGTGGGGCTGGTGGGGACCCCCCATGGCCATGCTGGGACCTGCTGGGCTCCTCCCCCTCCGCTGGCACCACTCAGCCCTCCGTGGATGAGCCCTGGCAACCTGTGTCCCCATGTCCCCCAGGAGCTCCCATGGCTGCAATCCCAACCTCCACACTCCAAGAGGCTTTTTTGGTGCACCTTTTGCTGTTGAACCTCCTCAAGGCCTGAGCCAAAGCACAGGGCGTTGGGTCCCCCAGTTGTCAGGGGGTCACCCCAACCCCTGGCCCTCACAGAGGGGTCTCTTTGCCCCCCTCTGCTTTTTGGAGAAGGAAACCTCTGCTGTGATTCTGAGGGGGCCTCAAAACCAGTTGGCTAAAAACCAAACCAACAAACAGGCAGCTTGAAATTTTAAATAATTTTCCTGATAATCTCTTTTTTTTTTTTTTGCTACAGAAAAAAAAATGCACCTCCTCGTTCTCATCTAGACTCTATGTGTATATATAAATATATATATATTTTTTTTTTTAAATTTGATGGGGGGGGCAGAGGAAGAAGTATCTTAACACCCCAGCCCAGCCCAACCCCACTGCTGTGTATGCAAAATGCTGCCATGCAAATGCTTGACTATGCAAAGGCAACACTTGGCTTGTTTTTGTATTTTTTTTTTAAAGAGGAAAACCACAGTGAGCCTTGGCTTTTATTTCTCTATTTTTATATGTACAGAATTGGACAGCTTTAGGTTTGCCTTTCATGGCATTTTAGGGCATTTCATGGCATTTTCATGGCTGAGGGCGGCTGTTTTTTGGGGAAAGGACGGGGAGCGATTCTGGTGGAGCCTTGTGGTGATCCCAGTCTCCATTCCCAATTCCACGGGACACTGGGGTGACAGGGACTTAGGAAAAGCTTTCCAAGGAGCTGATGGAAGGCTGGGAGGTGGGGCCTAGTCTCTGGATGATAATGGGGAGAAAATCGCTGTAAATAGGCAAAAAAAGCGCTGTGTGGCTTCGTGGGGCTGTGGATTGAAGGTGATCCTTTACTGTGCAAGATGAACACAATGTGAAAAAACTGGGGCCCTGGAGAACTTGGGAGGATGATTTATTTCCCTGGTGATGCTGTGTTTGTTACAGAACTCCTTCTCCCCTGCCAAACTCCCCTGCAACTATTAATCCATCTCATATTTTGTAATAAAATTTTATCACGTGGAGACGTTGTCTGCCTTCTGTTCCCTCCTGTTAAAAATGCCTCTTTTTTTTGTCTTAATCTCCTGCTTTTAAAGGCTTAAGAAAAGGGGAGGGAAAGCTTTTTTTTTAATTGGGAAAATGGGTCTGTGGGCAAGGAAGGATCTGTGCATGGTGTAAGCCTGCAGCTCTGTCCCAGGCTGATGTAGCAATGCTGTGTGAAGGGAAAGGAAGGGTAAAATATTTATTTTTAATGCCCTTCACCTTCACTATGTGCTCCCATTTTTTGTTGTGTGAGGGGAAAAGGGATATCCACAGACCTTGGGGGTCAGAGAGAGCCAGAGCAGAGCCAGGCAGGGGGAAGAGAGACAAGACAGGGGGCCATGAGGAAGTGCTGGGTTAGGCTCCAAAATCCCTCTGGGTGAAGTGTTGTGTGGGTATAAACACATTTGTCCATATGCAAACAGCTCCGAGAGGGCTGATGAGCTCATGACTTCAGCATGGACACACCCAACCCCCTCAAACCCCCAGGTCCCCCACCCTTGGATCTCCACAGGCTGAACCAAACAGCTCTTTCTAAAAGCCATTCCTGGCAGGATCCCACCTGCCTTCTCCAGCATCTCCTTTGTCACCGCTCCCCACAGTCACCTCCCAGCCCGGCTACACTTGCAGGATCGTGTTAAAAACAACAATTCCCTAAAGCTTCCCAAAGGTCTTGTGTTTCAGCTGCATTTTTTGGTGAAGAAAATCCTCTTTCCCTGACTGATTAAGTCCCTTCAGCTCAAACTTTGTTGCGATGCCCGGGCGAGTTGAGTTACATCGAATCACAGAATCCTTTGGCTTGGAAGAGCCTTCCAAGATCACCAAGCCCAGACTGTTCCCTCAGCTCTGCCAAGGCCAACACTAACCAAGTACCACATCCACATGTCTAGACATGAGCACATAGATAGAAGGAACTTTTGTGGGATCCCCAACACAAAACAAAGGGAGACATTTTTTCCAATGAGGGGAGGCCCTGGCACAGGTTGCCCAGAGCAGCTGTGGTTGCCCCATCCCTGGAAGTGTCCAAGGCCAGGTTAGAGCAGCCTGGGATAGTAGAAGGTGTCCCTGCCCATGGCAGGGGGTTGGAACTGGATGATCTTTAAGGTCCCTTCCATTCTGTGATTCCACGATCTATGACACAACACACCCTGTCTGAAGCCATCTCCTGCTCTGCAAGAATTCATGGAAACTCTGATTTTTGGTGTATGGTCTCACATTGTCCAGTGTGGAAGGAACCAGGACACTGTTCATCTTCTCCCATGGAAAGAGCCATCACATGCCTGAACACCTGAACATCTCCAGGAACCCCCACCCCTCCTTCAGCACATGCTGTGCTCCGGACTTGCCTCTGGCTGTGCAGCCAAGCTGTTCCTGGTGAGATCCCTGAGGCAGTGGATAACGGGGCAGCTCTGCCACCATGCCAGGAAAGCTGATTGCATGGGACACTGAAGTGTCCTTCCTCAACAGAGCTGCAGTGGCGAAAACCCCGGAGAGGGCACCACAGGGAGAGATAGGAGACCTTTCTGAGGTTCCTTTGGGACAACTCCTCCCTGGAACACTGAGGAGAAGGTGGCTGCTAAAAAATCCTCTTTCAACAGTGGCAAATCCGGGACATGTTTTTGAGCTCTGCTCGAAGCAGAGAGGGAAGTTCAGGCAATGGGTGCACAGCAGAGCAGGACCCCATCCTGCCCAAAGCCCTTCTCCCTGCAGACCCCCTTCCCTCATCCCGTGACTTTTGCTGCCCGCACTGTCCCCCCAGTGCCAGCACTGTCCCCACCTTGTTTGTGCTGCCACAGTGAAGCAACGGCTGTAAAACCTGGATCCATCCCATTGACCATCCCCGGGGCTGTTACAGCCGCAGGAATGGCAGGATCGGGCTGCTCAGGGACAGGGAGGGAAGGAGGAGGCAGAGGGGGGGATAAAAACCTGGGGGAAGGCCTGGGGGAGGGGGTCCTGCCACAGGGTGTTCACCAGGAGGGGACGGTGCCAACGGGAGAGTCCTCTCAGCTCTTTCCTTGGCACCCAGGAGGAAGCCACGCCGGCGCCACCACACCGTGTCCAGGAGCGTGGGAGCCGCCGTGGCAGGAGGGGCTGCTGGGCTGGGGGAGATGGGCAGCTCACTGTGGGAGGCTCAAAGAGGCTTTACTCTTCCTCTGCCCCTCCGGGGTGATTTTGGAGGGGAGAGTTGGAAGGTCCCACTGCTCTGGGACAGCCCAAGTTCAGGTGGGATGGGATGGGATAGGATGGGATGGGGCGGGAGAAAACCCCACCCAGCTTCCCTGGGGATCTGGAGAGGACCCCCCAGATGCCCACCGTGCACCCCCAGCTGGCAGTGACTTTCAGGATGGTTTTAGCCTTGAATTTTCCTGTCCCTTCCCACCCCAGCGCCTCCCCCTGCCATCCCCCCGCGGCGAATCGCTGCCTCCCCGAGGTGCTGCCGTTTGCTGTGTCCAGGGCCAGGCTGTAAAGTTATCCATTGACTCGGGAAAAGGCAATTAAGAGAGAAAGAGCTGCTGGGCGGGTTCTTCAGGTATCTCTGAAGCCCAGCAAAGGTTTGTGGCCTGGGACAGGTTAAGGTTAGGGTGGTGGGGATGGCGAAGCTGCGGAACGGCCCCACACCCGCTCCCCTGGGAAACACGGGCTGGGACGGCAGTGCCACAGCAGGGGACGCTTTGGGGAAGGTGACGGAGAGATGCGTGTCCCGTGGTGACTCCCACCCCCCGGGCACGGCCGTGACAGCATCCACGAGCGCTGCCCTTCAAACCCAGCCCTTATCTCCTCTACCCCGAGGACTATTAATCCCTCGAGTCTCCCCGCCGAGCCCTATCGTGAAGCCTAAGCCGGGGCCGAGCCATTAAAGTTAACTATTACCCAAAGTGAGTGTTTATTTGGGGTAATACAGGCCCGGGGGAAAGTGAGGGAGGGGAGG